CCCCCCCCAAACCCAAATATTTTAAGGAAGTTGCATAAATATCAAGAGGAATCGGGAACATTTCAGGCAAAATACACTGCTTGCTTGAATGTTCTTTTTCCAGTTTACCATAGTGTTAAAAGTCCTTCTAAAATTATTAGTTATGTGCATAGGGTTCAATATCAAATCATTAGTGCTACTGCCTTATTTCTTGCTTTGAGAATGTACTCACATGAAAATCAGCTGGTATCCTTAAGTGTTGGGCGAAATTTCTGAAGATGCCTTGCAGAATGATTACATAATTTAGGGTCTAAATAGAATTCATTACTGAAACTAATAGTTCAGTTTTAATGACTACAAAACACATCTTTATGAATTTTCAGAAGAATAAACCATTGTAGTTTAAACAAAACCGTATTGTAGAGGTTTGTATTTAGCGCTTATTTTTGCATGTTGATGTTGATTAGCTAATAAAAGATTGTAAATGTACAACCTGTTAATAAAAATTGTTTTCCATTTCTTGATTATACAAAATTAGAAAGCTGATTTGTATTTCTAACGCAAACAAATTGTTTCCCATTTTATAAGGACATCTCAAATTGGGAGTTCCCCATCTTCAAAAATCATCTTGTATAACATTTCAAAGAGTGTCTTTGTTCCTAATGGTCATTCTTCAAGCTTCTGAAACTGAGCAGCCTGATCACATCAACTATCATTAGGTGAAAATTTAATGCTGTGTATATAGTGATGAAACTTCTACAATCTTCAGCCTTATCCAAACACTGTCCACCATTTCCTAGGAGAGGACTGTCTGATATTTTGGTGGTCTTCTATTAAAATGATTCTGTTGGAGACATTGATGTGGTGGTTCCTGAGCATTTCTGAATCTCTGAGGAAATGCTGCTATGTGCTAGCTACATAAATTTTAACCCTTCAAAATGAGTGGAGACCAGTAATATTACACAATGAACATTCTTGTAATTCTGTAGATTATAATGGGGATCTTCAAAAGGTTGTGGAAGCTGGAGGTTTTTAAACATGTCCCCAATATTGACACACATTACAATATTATATGTTACAATTTTTCAGAAATATACATTTGCCTGATTCTCATTTTCTTGCACTTCATGGTAGAAAGAGCTCCAGTGTCTGTCTGCATTTCTGAAAGTAGCAAAGCTCTAGCTGAACTCCTTAGGAGGTAGATGGTAACGGCGAAGAAGTGGTGGGAAACAGACTACAAGAAGGGCTGTACTAGTAATTGGGTTTTAACAGAGGTTAACATAAACTCTGCATGGTCTCTGACTTCCCGGCATAGCAGGATCTACAATGCCATTGTAAGCTCAGAGCAGTCTGCCCTTTAGAGACTGAACAACAATCCTATCAAATAGCACTCCCCTCTGGAGCAGTGCCAGTTGTCCTTGGCTGCTTCCTCTTGTACAAGAGGCAGAAGTAGAAAAGGAAATTTTAAATCGGGCAGAGGTAATTTCCAAATCCCCTTCTCTTCAAAAATAGATTCATAGATGCTTGGGTTGGAAGGGACCTCAACAGATCTCCGAGTCTGACCCCCTGCCTGGGCAGGAAAGAGTGCTGGGGTCAGATGACTCCAGCCAGATGCCTATCCAGCCCCAAGGTAGGGGAGGGCACCACCTCCCTTGGAAGCCCATTCCAAATTATGGCCACCCTTATGGTGAAGTTTTTTCTGATGCCTACCCTAAATCTGCCCCCTCTCAGTTTGTGACCATTGTTCCTTGTTATCCCATAAAATGATATAAAAATCAGAAGAGGGACAGAACTCTTTACTGGCACTCAGAAAATGTGAAGTTAATTGCTTAAACTCAGGACATGGAAACTTCTATTTTGGCTGTTTAGTAAATACTGGTTAGGCTAGAATATTAGGAAATCATAAACCCCAGACCAAAAAAAAAATGCCTTTCCAATGCATTTTTTTCTTGTCAGGTAAGCGGATGACTGGGGGAAAACTCACTACCTCAGAAAGGGGTTTGGGAAGAGATACAGGGTTTCTTATCTGTCTCTGCTTTTCAAGTGGGTGTGAAAGAATTTTTTCTCTTAAGGCTGACAGATCCATCTTAGGAAGAGGGCCAGCCATGGCCATACAGAAATGCTTCACCTCCCTGAGTTAATCAAAGGGTAATAGTTAAGGACTCTAACTTACCTGAAAAGCTCAAGAACTTGAATGTTAAGATTCAGAGATTTCAGGAATCTATATCCCAAGGAAAGGGGAAAACATGGGAAAATGCAGAGGAGGTTCAGAATATCATACAGAAAAGAACTGAATGACACTGAGAATCAAAGTAACAGTAATCAAATGAAATCAACTGCAAAATGTTAAGTCATGCACTTGAGATTTAATGAATCCTTCAATTAGGAGCTAGTACCTAAGCAGCTGGAAATGACTGAGGAAGAGGAAGACATCTGTGTACTAATTGATCAGGGAATGACTATGAGCTGCTACCTATTTGACGCAGCTTTAAAAAATACAAATGATTTCAACTAGAGATAAGGAAGTATTAATGTGACTACATAGGCATCAATGAGACCTCTGGGGATGCTGTGTACACTTTTAGTCACTCGTATTGAAAAAAAACATGAACTCAAACTACAGAGTATGGAAAAGGACTCCTTGCTTAATTAAGGGAAAGGCAAGTCTACCATCAGAGAAGCAACTAATAAAGCTTGGCTTATTTACTCTAGCAAAATAAAGGCTGAGAAGAGATGTGATTACTGGGTGTGGGTTGGTAGGCTAGCAGTGAAAAGGATGAACTTAAAGGAGAATATCTGCACAAGGACAAATGGGAATAAAATGGCTATAAATAAATGTTGGCTGGCAATTAAGAAGGTTCCTGTCCATTAGAACAGTGCGGTCCTTAAACTGCCTTCCACTAGGGGCAATGCAGATCAAAAAACCCTAACTTTTTAAGATGGAAATGAAGTGTATAAAGATTGTATAGCATGTCAGTTGGAGCATTAGACTGGACTCGGTGACCAGGAGGTCCCTTCCAGTCCTATGTGCCTAAATAGCTCTATGCAAGACATGACCTGCTGTCAGAGCACTGAAGCCACAATAGCAGTTGCCAGATAAAGGATCATATCTTGGTCCTTAGTGCCTACATCCATGGCTACGTTTCTACCTACAGTACTCAGTTGCAGTACTCCTTTTCTGAGTCCCTGTGGATCATGGCTGGAGGACGCCAGAAAAAGCAGAGATATTGTCAATTCTAGGGGGTGCGCTAAGAACTTTTGGGCCCAGTACTCTTCTCTTCCTGCCACTTCATACCCAGATCATACTCATGTCCCAGACTGAACCTCCAGGGAAAATAACCTCAACAGAAAAAAATTCCCATCCTGAGCGGCCCAAAGCTGTCTCTGTGAATGGTGGGAGACAAGTCCAGCCACTTTGTGGACATGGGCATCGGTATCCATTTGAAATATTTTTGGTGCAGTTTTACTCTCTGCTTCTGAAGCAGAGTTATGGGGATTATAAGGGAAAATAAAGGGGTTAAAAAAATCAGCAGTCAGTTTCCTTGCTCTCCTTTACAGAGCCCAGCAAGATAAGGCCATGCAAGAAAAGACCAAGCTGTGCTGATTTTTCTAGATGGCAAATGCACCACCACAAGGCAAATGCATTCCTCCTTTGGGTGAGATGGCAAATGATCCAAGAATTCAATACCAAACTATTTCTTTAAGGAGTTCATATAGGTTATTATGAAACCAGGAATAGGAGGTCTGCAGATACGTTAGACCAGGGCTGTCCAACCTTTTTGAACGTGGGGCCGGATCATAAACTTTTTATCACCCAGTGGGCCAGTGAGCCATATTCAAAGATCTCACAGGAAGCAGTATCATATCACCCCCCCCCCCCAAAAAAAAAGAACAGGGTTTTATTTTCGTTTCCCGTCACACCACCTTGGGCCTCAGAAAAGAGCTTGGGGGGCTGCATGTTGAACAAGCCTGCGTTAGACCATTTATAGTTATGTATTCTTCCATGTACTCTATCTCACTATAATAAAAATACAGGAATTTGCTGCTACTTCTGAAAGATTGGGGAAGACAGCTCATGCCTAACTGTCAGTGTGTCCCAATGGCTTTGCATCACCAGCTTACCCTCCCCTCAGCAAAATTGTTATGGAGGGTTGGGTGCAGCAGCAGGTCAGATATGGAAGAAGTGTGTGGCAGTTAAAGGTCTTTTGTACTACCAGTTATTTCTTTCCTGTTCTAGCCATCGTTTTCTGTGGACAGAAGTTTCCATGGTAGTGATACCATGTTAAATTTTGACTAATGTTTCATGAAAAAAAATGCAACCATTTTCCCTGGTGGTCAGTGACTTGCCATTTTTTACCTCCGCAGACTGGGGTCCAACTGGCAGCCAAGTGCAGGCAAAAAGAAATGTGAGTCATCATCTGATACCCTCACAGTATCCATATGCTTTCCCTGGCAAAACTAAGACAGGCGGCACATACTGCATGTATGATCCCTCTCAGCCCAAAAATCACATGTCCAAGGCACTTCCACCTAGAAAAAGAAAAGGGAAAAGTGGGAATCAAATCTTTCATACAGAGATATGGTGTGTTACTACTTGCAATCAAATGCTTGGATTTGTCCATCCCCAGCTATCTGGTGATACCACGGGAACTTTATGGAAAAATTGAACTATTCATAATTGTCAGAAAAAATTAACTTATGATACTGAGTCTTCCCACTTACCATTGAGATAAGCTGCAGCAG